GAGAGGAAGGATAATGACCCAAAGGACTGACAGTTTTCCTGTGGTTGGCGTTGAAGACAACGTGCTTCACTTTCCTTCTTCATGGCACAACGCGCGTTGTCACACAGTGGACTCCTAATACAGAGTTTGTAAATGTATTGCAGTTCTCCTATTTCCAAGTTTTTATAAGATACATATTAAGGCAGCAGATTACTTAATGCTTCTAGTTAATTAAATCTTTTTGCAAGTGGAATTCCCACATGTTGACAAAAATATACTTGAGTCAAATTTACAATTTGCTTAGAATTAGGCCTTTAAAAAAGACAATCTCTCCCCTTTAACTATGTGACACGATTATACTTTACATGACTTCAGATGGCCACTAGACGTGGCAGAATTTGTCAAATGTCCAAGTGGTCCCAAATCACAGTAGGTGGAACCAAGCCCAGGTGGTGTCTTCATTTTCCTGGCTCCCCGGTAGATACTGAGTTTACCTATCCTCTCAGTCAGCTCACAAAAGTCACTCTGTCACTGAGCTCTATGACCTATGGGAACTCACTTAACCTCTCTGTGCCTCAATGTCTTTATTTGTGAAATAAAATAAAAGAAGCATAAGGCTTCTATAAGAAATAAAATAGTTATGGGTAGCTCAGTTGTTGATCATTGACCTATAAATCAGGAGGTCATGGTTCGTTTCCCAGTCAGGGTTACATGCCTGTGTTGCGGGCTCAATCCCCAGTGTGGGCTGTGCAGGAGTCAACCAATCAATGATTCTCTCTCATCATTGATGTTTCCTTCTCTCTCTCCCTTTCCCCTCATCTCTGAAATCAATAAAAACATATTTTTTTAATTTTTTAAAAAGAAATAAAATAGTTAATAGTTTAAAATGTTTGGAACAGGATCTTACACATAGTACATAGTCTATAGACATGTTAGGTATTGTTGTAAAAGTATTGATATTATGGGATATTTTTCTTATGGCACTTATGTTTTTGGATGAAAGTATTTCAAAAGAAAAATTATTATTGTGACTTTCTAGTCTAGGTATTGCCTACATTTTACAGCTGTTTCCTTTCTTTCCCATGCCCCTGACAGGGATTACCTCAATGACAAAGCCTTATGGAGCAAGTGCAGGGAGCCCGAAAACGTGGTGTCCTGGAATCTGACCCTCTTCTCCATCCTGCTCATCATAGCAGTGTTCCAGATGCTTCTCTGCACCATCCAGGTGGTTAACGGCCTCCTGGGGACCCTCTGTGGAGACTGCCGGTATTGTGGCTGCTGCAGGGTAAGTTGAGGTCTTTGTCCTTACTCCTCAGGATGGGAAGCCAAGGCTGGCCTCCAGCACTAGTGGAATGACAGGATGGAGAGGGTTACAGTTACAGAAAGCCACAGCCAGGCTGGACAGTCTGGCAGCCCCCTCTGTCAACCAGGGAACAGTGACATTGTGTTGCTGGAACCCAGAAACTCTGTCCTCTGTGCATGTTAACATTTCCAGGCTCAAGTTGACCCAAATTTTTAGCTTCACTCTCAGTCCTGGAGGCAAAGGACTGGGTATGCATTGATAAATGTGCAGTGATGTCATGTGAAAGTCCCCAGGAAGTGGGCATGTGTCACTGTAGCGCATCACAGCCTGGCTCGAAATGTTCTCCCCATTTTCTAACTAGAGCTACAGAGTTGGCTAAAGTTGCCAAGTAGTATGCAGAACACGCCTCAAGATATTTTATTTTCTCTGTAAAAGAAGAGAACATACCAATTAAAAATAAACAACTATATTTTGATGAGATATCTGATATAAAAGATAAATATTCCTAAAGTGAGGGGAAAGGAAAAGTACAAAAAGTTTAGTCTCAAAATTGATTATAAGTTATCAGCAAGGATATAAAAATAAAAATAAACATATGGGAAGTAAGATAGTGCATTTATTTCAACTAATGACCAAACCAGATCAGATAAAGCTATTTAAATACTCAGATTGTGTAGGGGGTGCGGGGAAGATGCGGAGGGCATAAACAACATGGTCCTCTAATTGGAAATTGTGCAAATAAAGTAAATACACATCTATCTACTTAACATAATATTGTAAAAATAATTCCCTAATTTTAAATGATTCAAATAATTTTCTTTAAATATTTAGCAAGCATTATAGGTCTGTAAGTCAAAAGTTGTGCGTGTGTGTGTGTGTGTGTGACACATACAGCTACATAGAGAGGTTTTCCATTGGGAAGGCTGCATCCTGCCCTTGTCTTCTGTTCCCCCAATTCCCCCAGTTCTTCACCCAGGGAATGTTACCTAATTTCTCATATATCCTCCCAGAGTTTCTTTTTTATTGTTTTTATTTCCCTTACCTTGAAAGGATTTTATCAAAACTTATCACTAATGTTTATGAGATAGTGTTATTTAAAAAGAGCAAAATACAAAATAGGTGTATACAGGATATAAAAGTATGTAAATAAGAAAAAAACCAATACTTTAAATAAAACAGACCTAAAGGAAATCCAACTAAAGTGTTAAATAATAGTTGTTTGTGGGTAAGAAGGCTTTCATTTTTGTTCTTCTTCCTACTTTATATTATTTAATATATAACCATTATATATTTTAAAATATAAAAGAGTAAACAAAAAGTTCCAGAAATCTACTGTAAAATACATATATTATAAGTAAATTTTACTGGATATTGATTTTTTTCTATAAATTTTCAGTTCTATTGTGTTGTATTTAATTTTTTTGTCAATAAACACAATTGGAGAGAAAACTACCAGTTATTCATCAAAATTATTTTTATGATAGCAGTGAGAATATTGAGCACTTGAATCTTGTGATTCCTCCTAAATGAATTCTTGCTTTCTGAATCAGCAATTTTGTTTCAAACACCAATATTATTTATTTTCCTGCTTTCACACTTTATAGTTAGGTAGAAAATTTTTATTGCAAGACTTATTGAAAATACAACTGCTCTTTTAATACAAGATAGTAGTTTACCAAATCTGAGGATTATCTGTATATATAACCACATACCCATAAATGTCAGTACATTGACTCTTTTCAGTGAGTGTCATTTACTCAAATATCATATTTTTGAAATTTTAATGAATAAATCATTGATAGGCAAAAGGCAGTAGATGGTGAATGAACCCTGTTGAAATTCCCTCCTACCCTTCCTTCTTTCCTTCTTCCCTTATTTCCTTCCTTCCTTCTTCATCTTTTTATTAGGAAAACTTCAAATCTATATAAATTTCAGAAGAATACTGGAATATACACCTGATCTTTTTCACCTGGATATACAAGTTGTTCAATTTTGGCTCACTCTCTCTTTTTTAACCATTGGAAAGTATTTTGTAGACATTGTGGAACTTCACTACTAAATATTTTGGTGCACGTTAAACTCAGTCTGGTGAGGATTCCTCTCTAGTTGCCAATTTGCCTCACAGAGAGCAGGTCAGCATTCCTCCCCCAGTAGGTCGCTGAGGAAAGGCCTACTTCTCAGAGCCATAGTTACCTCAACCACCTTTACTGAACTTCTACAGAAAGTGAGCAGAGCAGATTCATTCATCCAGGTAGAAAATATTTATGAGAGGTTCCTGAGTCTTGCACAATCCTCAAAAGAGGCAAGAAATAAAAATGTGCTTTAAAATCCAAGCCATGGCCTGGGATGAGTGACAGCGAGGCAGTCTTGGCCAAGTCAGTTGCCCTCATCTGTTTCTTTGTAAAACGTGATTGTTAGACTAACTTCCCAAAGTTGTTGACTGAGCGTCTAATATGGGGTAATTAATATACATTCATTTGAAGAATTAAAAGGCTTGGTACATTGCACTGATTGTTATTTACTAACAGCACGAAAATCAGTGAGGCAGCATAGCTTCCAGGAAAGGAACACAATCTCCAAGTTCAGCCTCCCTGGGTTCAAATCCTGGCTACTTAGCTGTGGCTTTAGAGGCATCACTTGAACTCTCTGTGCTTCTTATAGAAATTGTTTTTAATAATAACTGATGCAAAAAAATGAAGCTTCAACTCTTATAACCTAAATACAGTCAAGAGATTAAATAAAGCTCTGAAACAAAGTCAGAATAGAATATAAATATCCAATAAGTAACCAATGAGGGGCAGGAGTAATCAGAGAAGCAGTGACAGAGAATGGAGGGAAAGGGGAGAAGTAAGCCAAAAAAATGATGTCATACTTAATTAACTTTTTCTACCTTCTAGGGAGATGGACCAGTTTAAACCTCTGTGATGACTTTCTGTTAACTTGATGGCATGTGAGAAGACATTCAAAGTAATCTCTCTTTGGGGTTGTCTGTTTCCATCTTAGCTCAACTTGGCGCTTTATGTTTACTTTGAATAAAAAAAGAGATTGCCCACATAAGTTAGATTTATAAATCTTTCAAATTAGCTTCCTGTTAGAATGCAAGAGCTGGTAAAAAGTTAATTTTTCACAACTTTTTCTTCAAGAATGAAAAATGGATGTCACCTGTACTACCACACTGCTTCTTTGTATGTATGGGTATTTATGTTTATTGGAAGTTTAACATAATTGAAAGGATAAAATCACTTTAAAATGAGCAACTAATACCAATTTTGTTGTCAAGATTTCTGGAAAAAAAAGAATGACTGACTGACCTGTCAAAAATAATTTTAATTGCTGTCCTTTGGCTAACTTGTTTGAACTAATTGTAACTACTCTTTTGAATAAGGGTTTCCTTATAAATATTACATTAAAATACTAATTCAGTGGTAAGATAATAAAGATGGTGAGTGTTTCGGGGAGGAGGGGCAAAAGGTTGCTTCCTTTAATCAAACAAAAAATATGTTTTAAAAATTGATTTTTTTAAAATAACTTGTCAGCCAATGGCCCAGGGTTAAGATAATAGATATTATTAATTCTATGTGTTATATTATGACACTAAGACTTTAGTTTTATGGGTCAGGCACTAATATACAGTTAAATCCATTGTGTTTATTTAAGTTCAAACTTCAACTCCATCATATACTAGCTTGGAATCCTGTGAAAGTTACTTTCTAAGTCTCAGTTTCCCCATCTGTAAAAGGGCGGTTAAGAAATGTCGAAGTCCCAAGGATGAAACCGGGAGGCCTGTGTGATTGTCCACGTGGCTCGTGCATAGTGAGGACCTCAGAGGGAGCCACAAGCCAGCAAGTCTCACCTCTGCACCTGCCAAGCTCATAGGCACACTGACAACGAGGCTTCTTATAGCCGTTAACAAAGCAGTTACCAATCACCCCTGAGTGTTGGCCACTGGGGGAATCACCACTGAAGACTCGAGGGGTTGCACATCTTTTGATTTTGCCCTCACTGTAATGAGATCTCTGAGATCAGAGGTCAAATCTGGCACTCAACAGGAAGAAGGAGGAAAGGCAGGCAGTTACGCATTACAGTCTCCTTGAGGGACCTATAAATACACACACACAGAGACACACACACACACAGAGTTTCAAATGAGTTAAGACCTCTTGTTCTCAAATGTGGCCAATCATCACAATCACCCAAGAAATGTTCTAAAATTATGATTCCTGAGCCCCAGCATAGACCTACTGCATCTGAAATCTCAGGCATGAGGCATGGATGTCTATCTTTTGTGTTACTTACTTTTTAAAGCTGCTGAGTTTTAAAAACTAAAAACTAGCCACTGTGAGCAACCATTGACTAGACCACAGACTGGCAGGCACCAAGGATGAAAAGGAGTCAGACCAGCCTCTCACACACACACACACACACACACACACACACACACACACACACACCAAGGTTGGTAATAAAATTGTTCAGAAATTTTCCTTATGTGAGTTCCTAACTTGGTATTGCTTTCTTGAGTACGTGATTTGTGTCTCTACATTTTGGAGTACAAAAGCACAAAGGAAAGAACAGTATCTCATCCGAGGCTACACCCCAGTGCCTAACAAGGAACCTAGCACATAGGCAATCCATAGATGCGCTGTGCCAGTGGAGGTGCCCAGAGCCCACGCCATTTCTCCTACACCCTCAGGCTGAGTAAGGTAGTGCTCCTGGCCCTGAAATAAACTGTAAGAAGAGTTCCATACTGAGCCAGGAAAAAAAAGTAGGAAGTGGGCATCTGAGCTACAAATTGAACAAAGGGGCTGACATGAGCTCATGGATCCATGACAGGCCCATGAGTATAGAAGTTTAAGCTGTGTTTCCTACAACTGCATGTGGTTCCCGACTCTGAGCACATGGCATTGTGCGTTAACCTGGGCCATTTGTGGAACTCTCCCTCTGCCTCAGTCCTACTGAGTCTATGAGCATAAGGCCAAAGGCCCACCTGGTAGGTGTCTGCCCAGGAATGAGGACAGCTCTGCTCTTAACAGCTCAAGGAAGACACTAGGACTCTGGTGATCTCCAGTGTGGATCAAAACCCCCAAACAAACCTGAACACCAATGGGATCATCCCAATTATCACACCATACCTCTTTAATGGACTAAGACCCAAGTGGTGGCAGGATATGACTGAGGACTTTGTGTTGGCCTCAGGCAAAATACACATGAAGTACACACAAACCCTGGGTAACTGTCTTGGCACACACCTGCACATATTGTAATCCATGGAGTTTATTCATCTAAAAGGTGAGATGGGACAAAAGTAAGAAGAGGGAAGAAGTGACAGAGGTAGAAGAGGACAAAGAGGAGAAAGAAGAACAAAATAATCCAGGGTTTAGAACAATTTATGAGAAAGGACCACTGATTGTACTCCAAGGAGAAAAAATAATCTGCCATTCTATAAAATTCTCTTGTTCTGCCCTAGCCAGCTGGCTCGGTGGATAGAGGGTTAGCATGCAGACTGAAGGATCCCAGGTTCGATTCCAGTCAAGGGCATGTACCTTGGTTGTGGGCACATCCCCAGTGGGGGCTGTGCATGAGGCAGCTGATTGATGTTTCTCTCTCATCAGTGTTTCTAACTCTCTATCTCTCTCCCTTCTTCTCCATAAAAAATCAATAAAACATATATATTTTTAAAAATTCTCTTGTTCTGTGTTAGAAATGATAATAAGCTGACCCTGATCTAAACACAACATATCACTAAGGTTTCAATCAGAGATCAAATCTATATATATAAATGGCTAAGCAAGCATTCGACCGGCCATTAGGTATGATGTGCACTGACCACCAAGGGGCAGATACTCAACGCCAAAGCGATTGTTACAGCTGAAAGACCAGAACAATCAGAATGACTGGAATGACCAGTCAACCAGTCGCTATGATGCACACTGACCACCAGGGGACAGAAGCTCAACACAGGAGCTGACCCCTGGTGGTCAGTCCGCTCCCACAGCCAACTTCCCACGGCCCTTCCTCCCAGCCGATCAACCTCTCGTGTTCTCTCCCCCGTCAGCCAACCTCCCGTGGACCAGGCCAACCTCCCACAGACCCTGGTCCTGCCCCCGGCTGGCCAGCCTCCTGCAGTCCCTCTCCCCTGCTGGCCGGCAGACCCCCAATAGACCCTGATCGAGGGGGCCAGCCAGCCAACCTCCTAGGATCCTCTCCCTGGCTGGCCAGCCCCCTATAAGCCTTGATCACTGGCCAGGCTGAGGGACCCCACCCATGCACAAATTTGTGCACTGGACCTCTAGTATACACAAAAATATCAAGGACTTGCCCTTAGTAATTGCAAGAATGAGTTGCACATTCTCGAAAAGACATGTCTTCTTGTCTGATGCTTGAGCTGTACGTCTACAGGGCAGGCATCAGCCACGGAAGGTGCATGTAAAGTGTGAGAGCAAGAGCAAGCTGTAACCTACAAGCATAAGCTGAACTGACACCCACGTCAGTTCTTACTGCCTGTGGCTTCAGAGGTGCAGGGCTCCTGAAGAAGCTTAAACCCTTTGCCACAGAGCTGCACAACCTCTCCCTGGCCCAGAAGTTAGAGAAGCTGGGGGAGCTGGGGCAGGTGAGAGCTGTAGGATCACCTGCTGCCCGACATCTTGAGGGAGGTGGCATGTGGGCAGCACTTGTCTGAGCCAGAGGTGCTGCTGCTTCCCTTGGCCTCCACAGCTCATAGAGCCTCTCTCAGGCTGCACCCCAGCAGGAAACAGAGGAAAGGGGACTTGGGGGACTGGAGTTTGGCTTAGCTAAGTTTACAAGTTACAAAGCCATCACATGCAATTTGCAGAAGGCAATGGGGTTTTAGTTGTGTGAGTGCATGTACTGTTTCTTAGTGTAGGTCAGGGGTTCTCATCCTCACCCTTGGGACCAGATCGTTCTCTGTCAAGGGTGGGAGGGCTGTCTCATGCCTGTCAGGATGTTTCGCAGCATCCTTGGCCTCTACCTCCCAGTGCTAGTCCCAGCCTCTCCTCAGTTGTGATATCAATATATCTCCAGACATTGATGTGTCCCCAGGGGCAAACCTCCATAGCTGTGAATTGCTGGGCTGGGTCGTGTGCTGCTTGAGGAGAACAATTCATTTTTCCTCCTGGAAACCAGCAGTGCTTTGCATGTAGAATGAGCTTAGTAGTTGCTGAGCGAATGCACAGAGAAGTGCATGAGCAGATACTTACCCATCAACGCAGGGACAGATTGCACTTGAAGGAAGGTATCTGCTCCTGAAATGGTCTTCCTGCCATGGTTTTCATGACTGTGTTCATGTCTCCCATCCTATCTAATAATAGACAAATAAGGTAATTAACTGTAACTCCAACACGCTTCCCATTGGCTAATCAGGGTGATATGCAAATTAGCTGCCAACCAAGGTGGTGGCCAGCAGCCACGCAGCTGAAGCAAACAGGTGGCTTGGTTGCCCCAGCAATGGAGGAAGCCAAGATTCCCCGCCTGCTGCTGCCGGGCTCTGAGCTGCACTCTAAGAAACTATGTTGCAATTATAGAACCTAAACAAACCCCAGCTACCTGCTTTCAGCCAGCCAGACCTCAGAGCTAGAGCTGCAACAGTGTTTCAATTATAGAAGCTAAACAAACCACAGATACCTGCTTTCAGCAGCCGAGGCCTCAAGCTGGAGCCGGCTCTCAGCTCCAGTGACAGCCATAGAAGGTAAATAAATCCCAGAATAAAAAAAAGAAAAGAAAAAAAGGAGAGGTTGGGAGCTTCAGTCACCCGCCAGCCTGAAAATGGCCCTCAGCCCCTCACCCAGACTGGCCAGGCACCCCAGTGGGGACCCCCACCCTGAAGGGGGTGCAACCAGCTGCAAACAGCCATCATCCCCTCATCCAGGCTGGCCAGGCACCCAAGCGGGACCCCCACCCTGATCCAGGACACCCTTCAGGGCAAACCAACCGGCCCCCACTCTTACACAAGGTCTTTATCCTATATAGTAAAAGGGTAATATGCAAACTGACCCTAACAGCAGAAAGACTGGGAATGACTGGTCACTAGGACACACACTTACCACCAGGGGGTAGCCGCTTAATGCAGGAGCTGCCCTCTGGTGGTCTGTGAGCTCCCACATGGAGGAGCTCTGCTCAACCACAAGCCAGGCTGATGGCTGCCAGTACAGCAGTGGTGGTGGGAGCCTCTCCTGCCTCCTCAGCAGTGCTAAGGATGTCTGACTGCAGTTTAGGCCTGCTCCCCGCTGCCAAATGGACATCCCCCGAGGGCTGCCAGGCTGCCAGAGGGATGTCTGATTGCCATCTTAGGCCCAATCCCCCAGGGAACGGGCCTAAACCAGCAGGTGGTCATCCCCCAAGTGGTCCCAGACTGCGAGAGGGCAAAGGCTGGGCGGAGGGGACCCCCCCCTCCCCAAGTGCACAAATTTTTG